TTAAGGGTAATAATGGAATAAAAATATCTCAAATCGGAAATATTACAATCCAATACAGTAATGTGGATCTATGAACGAAATATCATAGTGACATCCTTGCAGCTTAAAAAAGAACAAGAAAACAGCAAAAAACACCATAAAAGTAGTTCATATGACTCATGAGCTATATAAAGTCTTCTAAACTTACTGAGAGAAGCAAGAATAGGGAAAATCATCAGAAAATAACAACTTGTTTGTTTGTTTCCATGGCTATTTTCATAGTGAAAACAAGGCTGCAGTATAATAATAGTATAATAATTTGAGACATATTACCATCCAACAAAATATATGCCTCAAATAACTTACATTTGAGTCTGTTCCTCACACCAAGCATTATATGGCTTCAGAAGACAGGAGTTGCATTGACAACTTTATAATGATGTCTCAGAAGTTTAGTGAAACACAAGAGCAGAATGTCTGAGTTTCTTTTGTGGATTGTAGAAAGGGCAAAAATACACGGTACACCATTAAAGTAAGAACTTCTCATGAACCGCATGAAACATTAAACTGAACTAGATAATGACAACGTTAAACAGAATTTCTCTGCACGCTTGTACCTGATACAAAGCAGGGTAAAATCAAATGTACTGTAACATTTATTTCTGTTGTGATTAATCCATATTGAGTAAAAATGTCGAGAGCTTATCATCATTAAATTTGATCATAATCTCGATATGATATCATTTATCGCCCAACGCTAATTTAGGCTATTTAACGTGCTTGGCGGGCGACTCAGAGACTCTATGCGGGCTACCAGGTGCCCACGGGCACCACGTTGGTGACCACTGCTTTAGTCCATACAGAACAAACCCTTAATCTCAAAATAAATCATGTATCTCCGATTCTTTGACTTTAATTAAACAGACCATGGCACCATATACATACATATGTACTGAAATTGGTATGTACTAATATATGAATACATACAAATATGGTCTACCCATATTCGGAGTTTGCTGATACAAACATAATCAGATTAAAGAAAGTTAATAGATTGTGCTGTTACTAGTAAAATATACGTACTGACCCTTTTTTTATTCTTTCCTTTGCTTTTAATGGTCTGGTGCTGTTCAGTCATTCTGAATATTTTTTTGTAGATTTTTTTTTACTTCATCAGAATGGTATGAAACTTGGTTAAAAAAATTAAAATCTTACTGAAAGCTCATTTTTATATATTGTTTAGATTTATGGCTTTGATTTTCTCGCAGCTTCAGGGTAAAAAAAAAAAAAGTTTTTTGTGTATTTTTAAACTTTTTACATTTTTTGCAATAATCTGCCAAGTGTCTTCTTTAAAAAGATATTAAATATAAGTCTGTGTTCCAAAGCATTGAAGGTTTGTGACAATTTAAGTTGGAAACTTAATTTTCAGGTCTATGATGAAAAAGTGGTTAACAGGTAATAAATGCATCATAATTATTCTATAAATATAATTTAGTACTATAAAATCCCTTAAATATACCCAGAGGGTTAATTATAAACAATCCCTAAATGCACCAGGACTCTTATTTTGAAAAGCTTTCGCTGTACTACTCCAAGCTGCTCATTAAAAAAAATTAGGCATCTGATTTTTTATTATTTTTTTTACAACCATCTACTACAGACTACAATATAATCACCACAAAGTAAATACTGTCTAAGTTCATCAACAATATGTTGGACTGTATTCACTGACTGTAAAGTGCTCTGAAACGCAGAGTAGTGCTATGCAACGCTTACATTTATTTAATGAAATCACATCCTTTTGAAGTTTAATAGTAGCTCTTAAAATCATAATTAAGTCTTGTTATAAATGCCATTCAAAATGGATAAAACAGACTTTAAACTCTTTTAAGAAACTGCCGGGACCCTGACAAACCATTAACATCTAAAAATGGACATAGATGTTCCTCATGATGAATTCTAGAGGAGAAGCATTATGTGTGACTCAGAAGTGTAAAGAATATGAGTCGTCCGTAAGTGTGAACGATTGTCTGTCAGGTGGCAGATCAGCCAAAAATGAGGCAGAGAGGACAATAGCTGGGAAACTGTTGAAGAAATGCATAACACAAGAAACTAGTTACTAGCTAAGGTTGAGTTTTCATTATCCGTGCACTTCATGTTTGCAGAGACAGTATACAGTGCAGCTCCGTTCACACTGACAACCACTGGAGGATGCTGGAAAACTCATTAAAAACAAACGACTTCTGGTCAATTTAAATTGTAGTTGTAAAACGCCGTTCTTTTAGAGATTTCAGACTAACCTCATTCAAGCAGATACAAGCTATTCATGCATGACTAGAAAATAAACGCCCACAGGCTTCACCAAGACCGCTATGAACTGATTCGCTTCAAAACAGCCTTGATTATTCATGAGCTTTACAAACCTTGCTGACTTATATTAGAGTTTGCAGATACAAAAATGTGTTTAAAGAACAGCAATAAACAGCTGTAACTAGCTAAATGTATGTTTTAAATAATATTTTGTCTTTCCTATGCTTTTCAATATAAACAAAACCAAAACACAGAGGGACTCTTATTTTGAAATCGCTTTGTTTTACAGTACCATTCTAGCTGCTCATTCAAAAACAAGAGGGAAATCAAATATCAACCAACATATTACAATAGAAACACCATAATTCATCAAAAGCTAATTTGTTTCAGTATTTATTAATCTTTGTTAATGTTAGTTATTAAAAATACAACCGTTTATTGTTAGTTCATGTTAGCTTAGGCCCATTAAATAATAGTAAAATATATAGTGATTTTAATGCATTGGTAAATGTTGATATTAACATTTACTAAGATTAATACAGTAAATGCTTTCAAAGTATTTTTCATTGTTAGTTAATGTTAACTAAATTGTGTTAAACTAATTAGTGTTACCGTATATATTAAAGGGGTCATATTATGCTTTTTTAAAGATCATTATTTTGTGTATTTGGTGTAACAGAATATGTTGACATGCTTTAATGTTCAAAAAACACATAATTTTAAAAATACTGTACATTATTGTAGGTCCTATATGCCCCGCCTCTCTCAAACGCTTCGTTTTCTACAAAGTCCCTCCTTCCGACAAGCGCAGTCTGCTCTGATTGGCCAACTGACCCAGTGCATTGTGATTGGCCGAACACCACAAGCACGCGTCGGAAATGTAACACCCCTTACCTTAATCGCAAGGTAAAGTAAATATAAAGACAGTTAATAATGTCGTTAGTTTTACCATCAGTTCAAGCCCGAAAGAGGAACAGAGTCGCGTGACAGACACAGTAATGATGCAGTACACAAGCCGCGGTTAAGACAGCTGACGTGCTATGATTTCTGACAGGCAGTTCACTCTCCTGTGATGTGACCATGCTCCCCTCACACACACGACGCGTTACTCTGCGCTGCAAAACTCCGCATTTGACCAGTCAATAGCAAATACGTAAACTAATAACAAAACAGTAGCTGATTCAGAAGCGCCAGATTGTCATAGCAAAGTCAGAATTACCTCCTCTCCTAGGTTCACGAAACGGTCATCCATAAAATGCATTGCTGTTCTGTTCTAAGTAATCTTAAAGATTCCTAAATGCATCTACTTTCGGAAGGCCAAATAAAGTGCTTTTGCTTTCGCCTAGAAACACACAGCGTCTCCCTGACATGGCTGCTTCAACACTAACTGCGGTTACTGAAACCACGCCTTCTTTCTTTGCGTGCACATTTGGGCCGCATTATGCAAATATTTCCACATAGTGAGGTAGATATGTGGGGGCGTGTTAGAACGAGCCGTTTTAGGGGGGCGTGGCAGAGTCTTAACTTTGATAAAGAATATCTCTTTGGTTTTGAGACTTTAGTCTTTGCAACTTCAGGGATCTTATCTATGCACAATCAGCTTGTAACACTCCAAAGAGAAAGGGAAACTTGAAATCGCATCATATGACCCCTTTAAATGTCAAACGTGCCTCTGAGAAAGACTCACAGCAGTCTGGTGGAAATCCAAAATAACTTATTTTAGCAACTAAAAATGGCAGCTCTGTGTGCTTTTTTAAATCCACACTTATTTCTGCACTAATGGGGAAACACTTGCTTTTCCAGCTGTAATGAAACGCCTGAGACCTGCTCCCGCTGCGTGTCCCTCAGGGCTGCATTCGCCACCGAGATACAGGTTGAAAAAAAAGTTCCTTCCCCCACAAGCTCAAGATCTCTGGAGTGTGTCAAAATGCCAAATACTAATGAAGTCAAATACCAGTGAAATTCCATGAAGTTTCTGTCTCAGTTTCAAGACTGTCTAATGCAAAACTTTAGACTTTGCATCTGATGCGGGACGTGGGATTGTCCATGCACGACGCTTGAACATTTTCTTAACTAAAATGGTTAATTTTATAGATGAAGTTCGGGTCTTTTTATATCGTTTCTGCAAAACTACATTTCTGTACATTTATATATGCACTACTTTTCAAAAGTTTGGCTTGGTTTTTTGAAAGAAGACTTTTATGCTCACCAAGGCTGCATTTATCTGATTAAAAATACAGGTACAAAAATTCAGATATTATTACAATTTAAAATAACTGTTTTCTATGTAAATACACATTCAAATGTAATTTATTTCTGTGATCAAAGCAGAATTTTCAGCATCATTACTCCAGTCTTCAGTGTCACATGATTCTTCAGAAATCATTCTAATATGCCAATTTGCTGCTCAAGAAACATTTCTGATTATTACCAATGTTGAAAACAGCTGCTGATTCATATTTGTCTGCATTCTTCGATGAATAAAAAGTCCAAAAGAGCAGCATTTATTTAATCTTTTGTAATATGAATGTCTTTATTGACACCTTTGATTTATTAAATGCATCCTTGCTGAATAAAAGTAATAATTTCTTTCAAAAAATACTTCATACTGACCCCAAAATGTTCTAACAGTACTGTATGTGCTATATAAGCTCCCATACAGAGCAGAGTTTGCAGTCGGGTGCTTCAGTAATTGTCCCGAGCACTCTTACCGATCATGGGCGACTCAATAAAGCTCCAGGCGTTGGTTTGAGGCACATATGACTGAAGTACTCCAGCAGAGCGGCCGGCCTCGTTCACCCCTCCAAACACATAGATCTTCCCTCCACACACAGTCGCCGCTGCTGAATGGACAGGTTTGGGCAAAGGAGCCACCATCTCCCACTGGTTAGTGATGGTGTCGTACCTGGGGAGAAAATGAAACGCCATTTATCCTGGAGCATCAGAAAGAGCAGAATTCAAAACGCCTTTTTAGACAGAATAATGCTCTATTCGATTCTGACTGCTCATATGTAGGGTTAAAAGTCTTACAAACACCCAAACCCACTAACCGCACTCATATTTCAGAATGAGCTTTATTGCCAGGTATGTTTCCGGGATAAATGACTATTAAAGTCGGCCTGAATAAAAAGACGTGGCCCATGGATCTTTAAAGGATGCCCATGGCTCGTATCAGTGAGTTTCCACTTCACGCCTGATAAAGCATCAAGAAAATGAGAGTATATTGTGAGGGTTTGGATGAGTTTTTTACTGGCCCTGGGAAAAAATAAACTTATGAAAACTCCAGCATTTAAACAGAAGTACAAAGGGACTGTAAAAAATGTGCATGGCTGATCGTCACAAATAGTGTCCCACTCTTATTTCAAGAAGAAAAAAACAATTTATACATAGAATACAGCAAATTAAGGACCATTAAGAGTTCTTATCAAATATAAAATAAATATAAATATTTTATTATTATATATAAACACATAATATGTTATTAAATATTTTATGGAATACGATTTAAATAATAAAATTTAAATAAATAAAGAAACTAAATATTATTTTAATGCATAACATTTAATTCTGCAATATAAAAATATATTTCATAAATATCAAGACATATTAAGTGTATGTATACATTTATTAAATTATTAAATAATAATAATTATTAAAAATATGAAAAAATATTTCAATTCTCAGATAGAACACAAGATAAAGACACAAGATTAAAATTTTTGTTTACATAATATATGTAGGTGTACTGTTTATTTATTATGTATATATAAATACACACACATGCATGTAAAATTTCAGAAAAATATGTTATGTTTATATATTAAATATATTTATATATAATATAAATTATATGAATATAAATATAAATATATGTAAATATTTTCAAAATATATGCTGTGTGTGTGCATTTACATATACATAATAAATATACACCGTACACACACATACAATATATTATGCAAATAGTACTATAACGAGTAGAAAAAAAAAATAATGTAACTAAACGGAAATAAATATTTTTCCAAAAAAAAAAAAAAAAGGTGCAAACAATTATTTTCATACTCAGTATTTTTGTTCTCATTTTTCAGTACAAATATCTATACATTATACATTACAAGATAAATTTACTTGAGATGCAAAATGAAATAAGATATTAAATCCTGTTTTGTGAAAACTATATTAAAATTATGTGGGTTTAAACAAGAACAGAAAAATCTGAAAAAGGGATCAGAAAAATAAATGCAATTTTTTTTTACCCCATTGGCAGATATTTTTTTTAGGCATAAACTCGCTTAATTTCGATAGATTTTTCAGAAAACAAGACCTCTGGGACTGTAATATACTTCTACTTCTCAAGTTAATGTGTCGTGATTTAAAATCATTATTTGCAATGTGGTGCTTTACTACAGTATGTGATCAGACGATGAAAATGGAGAATACTGGACGTTGAAAATGTTTATAAACGAGTGTGAAGTTATTTTAAACTCTTTAACAGAAGTAGAGTCTTCCCGTTCGTGCATGAAAGCCTCCGGCGCACCTGCCTGCTCAGTCGACTCTCTATAGACATTAAGGTGAAAATACCCGAAATATTTTCCAAAAAAAAAAAAAAAAGGGGCAAACAATTATTTTCATACTCAGTATTTTTGTTCTCATTTTTCAGTACAAATATCTATACATTATACATTACAAGATAAATTTACTTGAGATGCAAAATGAAATAAGATATTAAATCCTGTTTTGTGAAAACTATATTAAAATTATGTGGGTTTAAACAAGAACAGAAAAATCTGAAAAAGGGATCAGAAAAATAAATGCAATTTTTTTTTACCCCATTGGCAGATATTTTTTTTAGGCATAAACTCGCTTAATTTCGATAGATTTTTCAGAAAACAAGACCTCTGGGACTGTAATATACTTCTACTTCTCAAGTTAATGTGTCGTGATTTAAAATCATTATTTGCAATGTGGTGCTTTACTACAGTATGTGATCAGACGATGAAAATGGAGAATACTGGACGTTGAAAATGTTTATAAACGAGTGTGAAGTTATTTTAAACTCTTTAACAGAAGTAGAGTCTTCCCGTTCGTGCATGAAAGCCTCCGGCGCACCTGCCTGCTCAGTCGACTCTCTATAGACATTAAGGTGAAAATACCCGAAATATTCCTTTAATTTATGCATGTTACTGTGCTGTAGGGTTTTGCTCGTGAGATTTTTCCAGCATTTCCCTTCAGTGAGGCGAACGAGATAAACTTCTCCAGCAATCTTCCACACTCGGTCTCTGCTAAACATGCAGCAGATAAGTCAGACTCCACCGCCGTCTCCAAACACGTTTCTGCTCCTCCATTAAGACTCATAATGGTCTCAGTCAGCGAGCGCGGCTCATTCCCTGCTCAGTTTTCACTCTCTAGCAGGCAATCTCCTGATGTCTCCCACCGGTCCTCCTGTAGAAATCAGAGCAGCATCTGAGCTGGAATCTGGGTTGCTCGGCTCCTCAGTCAAAACCCGCTCTTGTATCATTTTGCACAATCCAAATATACCCAGTGCTTCCCACGTCTGCGAGTGCGTCCTGGGATTAGATGAGCATCATGTTAAAAAGGCCAAATCCAGTTTAAGAAATCAGCAGTGCAGTTGTGGAATCGATATGTTGTTGGGGGGATTGTTATACTGTGTGACAATTAAGCAAATTTGTGTGTATGTATGTATGTATGTATGTATGTATGTGTGTATATATATATATATATATATATGGGTCAAAGA